GAGAGAGAGAGAGAGAGAGAGAGAGAGAGAAGGGAGACAAAGAGTCAGAACAACGAAAAAGCTAAAACTTTGTCAAATTTGAATCATATTTTTTAATCTCTCTCCACTGTATTGTTTAATTAGATATGATAATAAATGTAAAAGTGAAGTGATAATTAATAATGATACTCTGTTGATACTCTCATGATGACAGTTTATAAAATTTCATTTAAAACAACCTCCTTGAATGCTCTGATGAATATATGTGTGCAGACAGCATGCAATAAAAATAATAAAATTATTTGATCATATATACCTTTAATGATTCTCATTCTCTTTAGATTTCGTTATTTACTGTTAAATTCTACTCGAATTCAGCTCCTACCTTAGAATCAAAACATTTAAGGTTTCTAAAGCATAAGTGCTAAGGTTAAACTCAAATGGCGCAAATTATTTTACTGCTATGAAGATGATATTAATTATAGATGTTATAATTTAATGAAAGTCTCAGATTAATTATGTTTGAATCGATACTTTACATATCCCAAATAACAATGATTGTAACAATGAGAAATGAATGATCTAATCATATCATTACTGATAATATTTGGCAAATAAATCTTCGTACAGTCTGTGAATACTAAATACTAAATGGAATAATGAATTAATCGAGAGTCTATGCATGTACACTAAATAGCAAATGGAATAATGAATTCTCATTTCTAGTTTATTACTAATAACCAAAATACTTTTTAATTATAAAATGATATTCTCATACATAGCAAGAAACATTCCATCTAAATAAAGTAATAGAATGACTAAAAAATTTTCCAAAAAGCTATTCTGATATCAAAGAGTGAAAAACCGTTTAATAGCAAAAAAAAAAGAGGAAAAAACTATTAAAATAACTAAATTCTTTGCTAAAATTGAAAATGATTACTTTATAGCGAGACATTTTCTGGTTGGTTTATATCGTATATCAATGCAAATTTGCCCGGAAATATCATTTTGTCTATTACAAGCCTGTATTCGATACCAACGATCTTCACCAGAATGTTTAACAATATCACGTTTTCGTATACTCACTAAGCCAATTTGTCGCGGTAAACGATTGCCCAAATTTTCGGTGATCAAAAAATGTAATTGTGAAAAGGTACTCGAAATTTCATGAATAAAATCATCACCAAAACAGCATCTGTAACAGAAATGAAATGAATGATTCATAAATTATACTGGATAAATCAATAAATGATTCTTTTAAATATTATATAATTTGAAATATTTTAAAAATCGTTGTTTTTTTCTTTTAAATATCAAAATTTGCCAAGTAAATTTGGCAAATTTTTTTTTTCAAAATGAAAACGGTGAAATTATAAAATATGAAGAAATAATCGCTCAAAAAAAATATGCTTCTGTCTTTTTTTCCCATGTCATTTCAACAGGCAATTACTGCCTATATGAAACGATTCAAACGTGTAAGATAATTCAAATAATGGAGTTCAAAATTCAAAATTATACGGTATTTAAATTAAAAATTTTGAGTAAAAGAGGTGCTGATTAGCAAAGGCCAGCAGTTAAGCCCAATGTATAATCAATTGTGATAATTGAATTTGAGAATGAAGTGATCTTAGGAGGACATCAACATTAGCATTTGAATTACAGATGTGCAGAATTGAATGATGTGAAATTTCAAATTAAAAAAATGAAAAATCACTTTAAGAGGATAAAAAACTCCACCAGACCACAAATAACTAATTACCACACTCTATCAAAAATAATAAATGATTTTTGCAATATCAAAATAATGAATTTAAGTAAATATTTTGTGAACCTAAGAGAATTTGAATTTGGATTACAATTTTGCAAAACTAAATGATGTGAAATTTCAAATCTGAATTTTTTTATAATTCTCAGAACAAAAAGATGAAGACTATATTGCATCGATGAAATCGAATTAAATTTCATATGAAAACGACTTTTGAAAAAATCTTTTGTTAATATGATTTCCAATACAGATAGGACCATCAATTAAGGCCCTTTCACAACGCTCTCATTTCCTCAAGAAAAATTTATCAGACATGAAAACAAAAGATTGAAACTGTATGTGTTGAGGAAGCCTTTATGGTCATATTTTTATATTAAATCCGAATTTTTTGCAAATCTCGAAATAAAAGGATGAAAATTATGAAATATTTTAATGATGCGATAAGAGATGATATGATACAATCTCCTAAACCTTCAACATAATGAAATTTAAGCCAAAAAATACAGAAATGTAAAATGGTGTTTAGTACCTCTTAAACTGTGCCAACGAGAAATAAATTTAAAATATGAGTAAATCATGGAAAAGTTGAAAAATGCAAGTAAAATTTTTGCTTATCATAATGATATTAGATCCGCCATTGTTTGTTATCTTTGTCAATTCATCATTGATTTTATTAATATTAAATAGAAATTCATTGATCATCAAAAATTGTTAGTATTCTTCCATATCAATAAAATATCTTGGGTGGAAGAAATTGAACTATAAAGTAAATTATTTGATGCCAATCAACTAAAAGCTTATCAAAGATTACAACAGTTGGTTAATAAATTTAACTTTGAATAATTTCATAAAAAATACTTGGCAAAACCTACGCATTCCCATTAGCAATTGATGTTGACTGAAAAATATTGACAGTATCTAATCGTGCTAATACTGTTATCGGTCGAGTATAATCGTTGTTTATGATATTATTGCTATTATTTCCATTACTATTATGATTATTTCGAATGGGTAAATTTCGAAGTTGAGCGATATTAACACGCAGTACTTCAACAAGTCTTAAATATCCATCACAAAGTATCCGCCCAGAACGATGATGATAATAGGTGGAAGTACCATTGGTATTTGTGCCACCACCATTTTCAGTAACCAATAATGGTGGTGATGATGATGATGATGATGATGATGATGGTGATGATGATGATGATGGTGATGATGGTGATGATGATGATGATGATGATGGTACGGTGCAATTAGCTCCAGAAATTGCTGATGTTGATGCTGATGTTGATGTTGATGTTGATGCTGATGCTGCTGATGGTGATGATGTTGATAATGATGTTGATGTTGATGATGGAAGTAAGAGTGATGACGAAACAACTGGTGGTACTGAGGATGAAGATAGGGATAACAATGTTGAAGTTGTAGAGGACGGGGCAGATGTTGACGCTCTGGTCATAGAATGTCCTCGCCCATTTAATTCACATTTGCTCATTACATAACAAGTACTACCTGTAAATTAATATTTAAATAAGCAACTAGCAATGATGATAAAATTCAAAAAATAAACGAGAATTCAAATTAAAATATTGTTTATTTGAGCAAAATTTCGCAATATTATTAATTTCAGATAAAATTGTTGCTTAAATGAATAAATTAATAAAAAAGAAAAGCTGTATCAGCAAAAATAATCAATAACTACCATATTCATTAATCTGTTATAAAATCTTTCATCAATTTTAATGAGAAATTTTATAACAGATTAATGAATAACAAACGAATTAGTTTCTAAGTATTCTATCCAGAAAGGAAAAATTTCTAGTATAATAGAATATAATGAAACGTGAAATGGGAAACTGTATCCTAATCTCTTTTGTATAATTAATATTGGTAATGAAATTAACAAAATTATAACTTCATTAGCAATAATAATTTTATAGGAATAACATAGGTAATTAAAGTTGAAATAAAATTAATTATTAATAACAAATATATTTCTAAATCACAAGCTTTTCTAACATTCAAAAATACGTGACAGTTGGAATAATTAAAATTTCAACTTTATACTTGCAATTGTAATTGCATTGCACATGCAATTAAATGATGCAGCATCGATTCAGGAATGCATGCAACCTAAGCAATTTGAGCAATCTGAGCAACTTGACTAAAAGTGGATAGGTTTCAGTTAAAGGAAGTAAGCAGATATCAGTGTAATCTAATAAGATGAAGAGCAAACAGGTAAGTGAATTTATTTTAGCACGAAATTTAAGACAAAGTAAGCCTATCAGGCAGATAAAAAAGTACAAAAATTGTACGGTATACCAAGAAATATTTATCCTAATGGTTAGTGGATGCATTAAATATTTTCGTATTTGAAATATTAATGATATTTTAAATTACTTTATCATGGAAATCCATGTATTTCAAAGGATCAGAACTTAGTTTTTAAGATTTCCTAGTTTAAAAGTCTTGAAGTGAAAAAAAAATTCATACATATGAAATCTGTGAAAAGATCTACAAAAAAATTGATGTAAATGATGACAAAGAAATTTAGAAAAACTGGAAATGATGACAAAGAAATTTTAATGGAATGGTTGGACGATAGGCGGCAACAAAAAAAAGATACAAAATCAATTTTAAATTCTTTACGATCAAAAAAGGGAGATTTCATTACACTTTTTCGACCGAAATATTAATGGAACGTTATGATAGTGCGAGAATAAAAATATTTTTATTGATCTAAAAGATGACCATATAGTCTAATAGATGATAGAGTTTAATTTCACAATCTAAATTCAATCTGATAAAATATATTTTCGATAAAATTAAAATCAAAATAAGTCTAATTCATCAAAAAACGAAATGAAAGAATTTTCATATATACCAAATAAAGTTATTCTATTCATTTTTTACATTCAATTTCGTTTTCCCGTAAAAGAAAAAATAAATTTTCATTGAACGTGCTGTTCCTAACAGTACGTTCATAAACGAAAAGCAAAAAGAAAAAAAAAAAGTCTCAAATTTTCTTAGAGAAAAAAAAAAACAGCGCAACATGAAATTATCGAATATCAATTATTATTGTGATATGAAAAGTTCGGGAAATTCATGAATGCGTGAAATATTTTTTTATGAAAGAAAAGTTATTCATTTCTATGCAAATTTAAACGACATTTTTTGAACTGAAAAGCACTTTGTATGCTATTTAATTGATCATTGGATTGAAATGGCCTAACAATGAATGATTCAATGCTATGAATGAATGTATAAAAGAAATTGTTGAATTGGTAAATGATTTATTCCAATTTAATATATTTAGTTTCAATTGTCACTCTCTCTTTTATTTAATTAATTGTAAAACTTTCACTAATTCAATTATTTGATTGTAATATGATTGTAAAAAAAATATATGAAAAAACTCACTGAGATTTTGAGCTTTTCTAATCTGATTGATCACTTTTCCAAAAGTGATTTGTTCAGTTTATAATTGGGCTAAGTTTTCAATCCAAAATAGAGTGAAATGTTGAAAAAAAAAAAGCTTAAGATATTTATCAGCGAGAATTTAAATGAAAAGTGCAACATTCACACAGATCGTCATCATCAATCTAAACTTATCGTAAAATGCATAAAAACTTATCCTTCAGAAAAAGTGAACAAATAACTAAACAGATAAGCAATAACAAACAGTATTTCACTTTTCACAATGCATTAGCAAAAATGAGAAGGATCGAATTTGAACAGTTGGCTATTTTTATTCATCGAAC